GGGCCAGCAGACGGGCATCATAGCTCCCCCTCCGCCAGCCGCTCGCAGCCTGCAGTGACGGCTGGCAATTAAACTGGAACTCTGCGTAGCGTGACCTGATGGAGCAGAAGAGCAGAAGGGACATATTAGCACAGATACTCGGGGCAAAAAGGCACATAATTGCACATTGGTGGTGTTTCCAGAAGGGAAGACATTTGCAAAATCCTTTGCTGCTGTAGGTATTGCTAAACTGAGTTGAATTAATATCATTTTATACTTTCCTGCCTCAGCCCTTACTCCAAGAAACCCAGAAGTAAGTTTTATCTCTTTGAGGTGAGACATAAGTAGGTGTCATAGCTAATGTTTCACAGGCCACCTCTAGGGATGCAAGAAAGGTCCAGCTGAAGACTGTGAAGGTGCTGCGAGGGCTGGAGCAGCTCTGCTCTGGAGCCAGGCTGAGAGAGCTGGGCTGGGGCAGCTGGAGAAGAGAAGGCTCCTCAAGGGGACACCTTAGAGCAGCTCCAGGGCCTAAAGGGGCTCCAGGAAACCTGGAGAGGGGCTTTGGACAAGGGATGGAGGGACAGGACAAGGGGAATGGCTTTAATCTGATGTTGTAGGATATCTAAGACGTCCACATGAGGCTTTCAGGTAGGACACAGGACACACTGAAGGCTCAGATCCATCTAAACAGACATCCTGTGGCCAGGTAAGAAGGCACCTCACATGGATTTTGAGCTGCTTAAGAAACCTAAGCAAACACTAGCACTCTGACACTTCAAGGCAGAACCCTTTAGATGACAACCTGCAGGGTCTGAACTATGAACTGAGTATCTCAAATGTTTGCTCTGCCTGGGCAATCTCAGAAAATCCGAGCTTGTTGATCCTTCCAGACAGCATCTCTCTTCCAGACATTTTGCCCTTGCTCCTGGTCAGTGTCAGCACTCCAAGTTGCACTCTCCTGCCTACCTCTCCCTACTTTCCTCCTTTTTAACTCTTCGTTGTTCCTATGTTTGCCCCACACCAACCCCTTTCTCCTAAGCCATGACCAGGCAAACCCTTCCTGCCCCAGTTTTTACTTCACTATTTAGGACAGTGAGGTCCTGATTGCAGGTTTGTATTATTCATATTATTAGAGCCCATCCTTCCAAGCTGGGACATGCAAGGGGTTACAGCTGGGAAGAAGCTGCAGGAGGATTAAGCAGTGCAGGCTGGGTTAGCCCTGGGGTATTTTACTCTCTTTCTTTCAAGTGCCATGATTTGTGCCTGGCTTTCCTTGTGGTTTCTGCACTGCTAGCTTTGACCAGGTCACACGTCAACCCCGTGCTCCCGCTGTGTCTCTGGAGGATGTTTTATATTATATATTCAGAGACCAAGGAACCAGATAATTAACAGCTGTGCTGCTTGCAGGAAATGGTTTCCAGCCTCCTAGAAACCCCTTTAAACCTCTTCTTTCCCTCTGGGCCTGTTGTCTTATTTGGGAGAGGGCAGTACCCATTCGTTTTGGATTCCCTGGATAGCTGGGGGAAATCTGAGCAAGAGGAGGTGGCTCAGGGGCTTTGCATCTTTCAGGGTCAGCTTCAGATGTATAGCTCAGTTGTTCTCCTTCACCCACGTTCCTGGGGTGCATAGGGGGTGAGGGTATTAGCACCAATCCATCCTTCCAAGAGGATGCTGCTGTTATCACCTCCCTTGGTGAAAAGACATTTAAAGATGATGTGCTGGTAGGGGCTGACTGCTGGAAGTTTGACTCAGGAAGTCCCAAAGCCCACCTTAATTAGAGACTGGGACAACAGTGGGAGATGTGTCCTACACTTGCTCTTGTGCTCTTCTTCAAGTGTCTGCTCCTGGTCACAGCTGCACACAGGATGCTGGGCTGGGATCACCATGGTGCAGTAAGGTTTCTGTTATAGTCTTACAGCTCTTACCGACAGATGGGCTCTGCTCCTGAGAGCTGTTTGTGGATTCATCTTCTGGAATATCAAAGACTTTCGGAGAAAGAGAGGGGTGAAAATCATACAGCTGAGGGAAAAACACTTAAAGGGTATTCCTGTGGGTGTGCACATTGAATGGGTCTGTGTATAGGTGCATGCATGGGGCATAAATGGAAGCAGAGGAGCAAACCACCCTGGCCACATACTACATGGTGGATCTGGAGTGACAGCTGTGATGCTGAGACTCCTATCACAATCACTAGAACATCAGCCTTGTAGCAGAAAGGTGTATTCTTACACACATCATTAGTTTTTTCTAATAAAAAGAAGGAAAATTGATTTTTAAGGTATCTGCTAGTGCCTGTGACTGCTGGGATAGCTTGGGTGCTCCTGTAGGATGCTCTGGACTAGGGAAGATAGGCTGTGAGAAGACAGATTGGTGAACGTGGCTGCAAGCACCCCATATCACATCCCTGCCTAGCTTGCACCTTCCTGGAACTGTTTCCAGGTCTAGTCTAGTCTAGTCTATGCTATGCTATGCTATCTCTTTCTATCCAATACTACTACTATAGTATACTAATACTATATATTAATACTATATACTAACACTATTACTATATTATACTATACCATATCACACTACTACTACACTACTACTATACTGTACTATACTACTACTACACTACACTATGTGTTTCTTTAGGACAAAAGCCAAAAACTCATAGCAAAGGTCTAAAAACCTCTAGCACAAACATCTCAAATCTTCTATCTTTTAACACCTTCTGTACAGAAGTGTAAGACATGGACACAGGTCATGGGATGGAGACACTCAGGC